AGATTATCAATTATACCTTCTAAGCTGTGGAGGGAGAAGTACTTTGATTCATCATAATTTATTAGGTTTTCACAATTTAAAGAAACAAACGTAGAATGTCTATCAAAGAAGATTCAGTCCAAAAATTAACTCAATTGGTCATGCTCCAATTGGTCGACATGGTATGTTTGAATAAGACTTCATTGGATTTCTCTCCTCAATCTGACATCTTAAACGAAAGAAAACAACCTGCAGGTTACTTTGGCTATTGTGTGATGTGTAGAAAATCTGCCAATCTCTATTGCAAAGATCATAGAGTGCCTATTTGCTCTTTCATCTGCAAGCGCCAACATTAGGAATATGTAGAACAAGCTTAAAGCACCTACAGTGGAGCTGTGAAGCAATTCGAAGAAAACCTTGATTGCGCATTACAATTGTATGATAGCCTATGCAATCTGCTCCTTAATAAAACAACCTTGGAATAAGCTAAAAACTAATAGATCATTCTTGAGTGTCTCTTGTACATTCTTGAGACTCCCGACTTTGTCTTGAGTAAAAATGAAAAGTTCATTAAAACAACCAAAGAAAGGTTGTGCAATCAACTATTAAAGTATTGTTTGGAAACTGAAAAAACCTTGTATCAGTTTAGTTTCAGGATATTTTAAAGACTAGTCAGCATCATGAGAAAAAGCATTAAATACGAAATGGCCATCTTCATCAACCAAATCTATTTAAACATACTTCTAAGTGCGAATTCCAATGTATTACACAAACAAACTGCACTTGAGAGTTTATGCAGTATTTTGGAAAGGCCAAAGACTGGATTGGAATTTTATATCAATTACGACTGTCATACCAAGCATGAGTGTTTGATGTCCAAAATAATTAATACCTTCTATGAGATTATTGTGATCTCCATCTATCAAAAAGCAGAATACCAAATTCAAACCCAATAAGAAATTCTTTTAAAACACTTGGCTATCAAGGCTCTCTCTTATGTTATGGATGGTTTAAACAAAGTGTTTGACAAATTTATCATCACTCCCTCTGAAGAAATTGGATCACCGTAAATGGAAGATTAAAATGCCAATCTCAATGACAACACCACCGTGATGTATATCAATCCCATCGAAATACAAAGATAACTGAAATAGGAAATTATGAAAGGATGTTAGCTCTTCAAGAAGAACCCTGAAAAAGGAATCAAATATCTCCTCGATGCCTAGATCATTTAGAATGAGTAATTTTGTTTAATTAAATTAGTGCTAAAGAAATTGCTAAGTTCTTCAGAGAAAATTAACAGCAAGTAAGCAAAGATGCCATCGGAGCCTTTCTAGGAGGACACCAACAATTAAACATCAAAGTCTTAAGTGAATTCACCGACCTCTTGAAATTCAAGGATCTCACCGTTGAATAAGCCTTAAGATATTACCTAGACTAATTTACACTACCAGGAGAGGCTATGTAAGTGGATCGAGTAGTCTAAAAATTCTCAGATAGGTATTACAAAGAAAACCCAAACTCAACCTTCAAATCCAGTGGCAGCATTTACACCTACTGTTATCTATTGGTTATGTTACAAACAGATTTGCATAATCCCTCAGTTGCTGAAAAGATGAAGTTGAGTGACTTTCAAAAATTGGCAAGATAAATCAACGACGGCGATGATCTACCCCAAGATTATTTGACTCAAACTTACAATTCCATTCTCAAATAACCATTGGCAGTGAGAGAAAAGGAGAAAAGTCGTGTGTTCATGAAAGAATCTCTAACTCAAAGTATAAGAAAGAAATAGGATTTGTTTTAGAGGGAAAAGGAAGCTTTACTTAAATAAGGAAGTGAACTAATTAAAACCAAGCAAGATTCCCATGAGACTCTCTATTAAATTATTAATTAGGACATGGCTTATTTAATCAAACCATTTTTGGAATGTATAGGCAAGCCTTCCTTTGAGATGTTCCTATTCGTATTTAACAATGATTAGATGGAGCAAGCCTCAAATCAATGCATTCAAGGCCTAGTCCTATTTATTAAGTTATGTTCTTTTTTTTCAATTCCCCTCCAGGATTACATGAACAATTTAATAAAGGCAACAAGACTTAATTAAGGTTAGATATCGAATAAACACATCAATCTGATTAAATAAATCCTGTAAACTGTTCCCTTAATTGGAAATGGACTAAGAGAGAATGGATGGAAGAGTATCTTAAAAATGATTAGCAGACTTGATGAGATGAGAATGATACAGCAATCCAAGGACAATGCTGATGGATAAACTATCACCATTTTGCCTGAGTTATTATTGGAATCAGATCTGATTGATAAGATTTTTGTGTAATCGAAACAATTAGACGATGAAGCAATTCAGGAATTTATTAATGCTCTATGTTTTATGTCCAAACAAGAAATATATCAAACTCATCCTCGTCTGTTTTGTCTGTAAAAATTAGTCGAAGTTTGTGATTACAATATGAAGAGGGTAAGTTTTGTATGGACTAAAATGTGGAATATAGTGAAGGATCATATTAACGAAGTGGCAGTGAAGGAGAAGAAAGTGGCCATGTTCACCGTGGACTCCCTAAAATAGTTAAGCATTAAGTTTCTATAGAAGGATGAATTATATGATTTTTAATTCTAAAGAGATGTCTTAAAACCATTCGAAACTATATTTTTATAGTCCAATCTAGAAGTCAAAGAGTTCATTCTTTCTTGTATTAATCACATTGTCTTAAATCATAAACACAACATCAGATCTGGATGGCGAATGATCTTTGGCTTAATAGCATTAGGATTGAAAGAGGAAAACGATAAAATTTGTAAAATAGCATTCCAAATACTCTCCTAAATCATGGAGCATAATCTAGATCTGTTGTAAGATGTGTTTATCGATCTCATACAGACATTAAAGGTTTTAGCAGGCAAGAATCAAGAAGACATGGCTTTGGCATCCATTGATTTTACTATCAAATGTTTAGGATATCTATCAAAACAAGCTTAGATAACACCCAAACTCAACTGGAATGAATCCGAAGAACCAGAGGCTACTGTTAGAAATGCTTCCACAGCAGTTTAACTTGAAAAGATATGGATTCCCCTACTTGGAGTGCTCTCAGGACTAGCAGGAGATAAGAGAAACAAAATATAGGCAAAGTCAATGGAAGCCTTGTTTGAATCCTTATAACAATTCGGATATGCCTTTAGTGCAGAATTTTGGAAAATGGTCTTCAGTACTGTACTTAGACCAATTTTTGATGAAATTCAGTTTACTTTTCAACAAAATCATATAGTTGCCAATGCCAACAATGATTGGTTTAAGGACTCGTGTAAAAAGAGTTTCTCTTTGATCATCAACTTAATGAAGCGATACTTTTAGAAATTAAGAGGGTTGCTATCTGAATTTCTAAAACTATTTGAAAATTGTATACAAAATTAAAATCTCAAATTGGCTAAATATAGCATTCTTTCAGTTAAAAATATGACTATTAAAATTGGAATGATGTTTAATGAAGAAGAATGGGAATAAATTGTTTAATTCATTGATAGGATGATTCGATTAACCACACCTACTAAACTATCAAGTTTTGCCAATCAATCCTTGACTTCTAGTAGAATGAGAAATATGATAGAGGATTGCTTCATTTAATTCACTTCCTAACTTTTAATGATCTAAATAAGCATAGAGATCTTACAGCATTTCAATCAGAAGTTAAATTTGCAATAACTATAAACCATTGAAAATACATTCCTCTATTCCTATCAATTCGCTGTCCAATTCAATTCATAGATTGATCAAAGATATCTAATATGGAAGTAAGGAGTCTTGCAAGACATGAAGTCCTTGCCTGGTTTGCTCAAATAGGAAAGAGAAGCTTATGGTTGCATGATCATCATTAAAAAGTATAAATTGAAGAACCATAATATTTTCGATTTTGACTCATTGATTGCACCGATTGATATATTTATTAAGAAGCATGAAATGATCAGAACAAATCCCCAATTCCCAGAGGAATAGGATTAATAGATGCAAAAATTAAGACTGTAAGAAATTGAAAAAGATACTTAAAATTATAGACAATTATTGGATACTTATATATTACCTACACTATGCGAATTAGATGACGAACATGTAAATTAAATATATATACATTTTAGTTAAAACAAAACAACTAATAGTTATTCTTAATTTTATTAAAAGCCTTAAGCTATTCAAATGACTCTATTATCTGTAAAGACTGTGTTAGATGTTAGAAATGTTTATAATAAGAGAAGAGCAATTTAGATCAGCAAATTCTTTAATTAGTTTAAAAATTATATGATTTGAAATGAATTAAACTTTGATATGTTTGAAATAATGATTTATATTTATAAAAAAACTCATCTTCTTTTCTTCAGTAAAATTGAGGCATTAACTTCTCTTTTTTATTAAACATAAAATAAGTTGATGTTATGATTGGTCAAGCCTATTATTAAATTTTTTACAAACTTAGATGATCATTTATATTATTTGTGTTTTGATTTATGAAATTAAATATTTAAATTATCATTCTAATTTATCCAATCAAAATCTTGATTGTACAATCATTTACTCATTAGTTAATTTGGGATTTTTAATTACTTTCCTTTATCATACCAGCTAACATTGCTCCTTATTTGTTGAGTACACATTCTCCCTTCAATATCCCGTTACTAATCACCAAAACCATTGAAATCTGACTTTACATAATTAATCCATCTATCAGATCATCTATTTATTCATCTGAAATCAATGCAAGCGAGTAACATCTGTAATTAAGAGTAATTTTTGATCCTTTAATTATTATTAAACTTGTATTCCAGTTAAATAATTGTTGGATTAAATGGAGATATATTAATCAATTATAATAGCAAAAATTAAAAAATTATTCCGATACCGGGGATTGAACCCGGGTCCCCAGGGTGAGAACCTGATATCCTAACCACTAGACTATACCGGAACTGTTAATGATTTTGAAGGGATCAACATTTTATATGAAATAAGCTATGATTTGATTAATAAATCATTTTTTGGACTTATGAGTACGATGTTTCTTTGATTAATGATGATTCTTATTTTATTTTTTCTACAATAAGGAATCCCAATCAACATCTTTTTCTTCATAAGGTGTGTAATCAATTACATCTCCTCTGTCTTCTTCTGCATCATTTCCTTCATGTTGATCATTTTCATTTGAATGATTATCACCTTCTTCTTCAGATCCCCAGGCATTTGAAACTTCCTTCAATGGTGTGTAATCAATAACTCCATCTCTACCGTCTCCATTCAAACCCTTAAATGATTTATATCATATTTTACTGATTCCCCATTTGCAGATCCGTCAGTTGATCCATTATTGCTAGCATTACTTCCACCTTCACTTGGTTCGGGTGCCTCATCCAAATTACCAGCTTAATAGTGTTTAATTAACCAATCGAATAATTCAATTTCTTCTTCCAATCTTATTCTGTCTTCATCATTCCATTCTTAGTCGTATCTCAAGTCTTCCTAGGCAACCAATAAGGTATATTCTATTTCTTTCAATCTAGATTCACATTTGTCAACTCTTCCGTATAAAGTTGTCAATTGATTTTGGAAATGCTAGAAATAGAAAATACTGAAAGTACTGTAATCAAGTCATCTTGGACTTCAATTTATCTGTTGAAGATGTCATTCTCTTTTTCGATTCTGACCTTGAATTCTGAGAAGGTGACTCCGATTTGCACTTAACCATTTTATCCATTAGCAATATCGTCCTAGATTTCTCTCTCCATCTAGTTTAGCATTTCGATCAATTATTCAATTGTGCCATTCAACTCTAAGTCCTCTTGTTTTGTCTATAACATATTCATCTTTCTATATTCCTTATAGGCAGTGACAATGTGGGATATCTCAGAGATGGTGTTCTCTTTGACTTCTGCAAATGAAGTTGACAATTAAGCCTACAATGTAGCTCTTAAGTAAGCGATCAATCTCAATAACACTCTTCCATTCTTCACTTTATTCAAAGAATTGTTATTCTTCTCGCATACATTTGTGGACAGAACTCCAATACGATTGTTATTGCTTTCTTATCTTGCTTTCATCCAATTCTTATACTCATTAGCCAAATCAATTTCGGTTTGCTTAGCTTCAACCTAATCAAATTTATCAAATGCTTATTACATCTTGCTATCTGTTGTAGCACTCTCCTTTCTGTTCTGAAATTGCTTATTAAATCACTGCAATTTAATCTAATTTGGCTTACTTGATTGGTTAGAATCTAGCATTCAAAAGTTGTAATTGCTCAACTGCTTCTTGTCTTAATTCGCCCAGAAATTAGATAACAACCTCATTATCTTAGGCTAATGTTCCCACCATTAAAATCGCTAATAGCAATATGCTGACTCTCATTATTTTTATTATTATAAAAACGGATTATAACTAGTATTAATTATAACAAAAACTCAATTCTTTAAGGTTCTATCCTTTCTGAAAGTACATGCTCATGTATTATACACCAAGATGTCTTCTGTAACTTACTTTACGTAAAGTTGGGTAAAGCCTTATGCTAATCGATTCTCTTGCCATGACTTATTCTCTTTAATAACCTATATAGCAACATCAAGTTAATCTATGTGACCAGTATCATTCGCAACCGAATTTTCCAGTATCTCCTCCAATATAGCATTAATACATTACAAATTATGTTTTTGCTTATCAGATCACTCATGATGTTGTATCCTATTTGGAATCCCCCTTGAAAATATGAATTCATCCAACTCTTGTTAACGCTATTCTGAATTAGAGGTTACCTTGAATTGAATTTTAGTTAGTAGTTCCAAACATTCACTTTTTTATACTCTTTATTCACCCTTCCACTGAGAACTTAAGTTGGGATTTGGAATTGAAATTGAGAACGGTTACATATTGCGTATAGGCTGTTTGATTTAATTTTTTTGATTAATTTTTATTGTTGAATTCTCCTTTAATTGATTTATAAATTATGACTATTTAAGGCTTTTGGCGTGAATAAATTATTGGAAGGAAGAAAGATTTTCTAAGTTTATTAAATTCATAAATTGTGGTGATTATTATTAAATCCTTATATTTGAAAGTTAGTAATTGGATTGGCTATCAATTAAAGTGTAAAGTGTTCTAGATCTTTAGATTTTTATCATTTAATAAAAATATATAATTGATTATGAGTGATTTTTTTGTTCCTAATAGAAGTGAGATTTCTTAGTAAAATTAGAGTGGCATAGGCAGTTTATAAGATGTGTACTTTCATTTTATTAATCAATAAGTTTAGGCGCAAGCTTTGGTAGATTGCAATAAGACAATTAAAGCTTTGGACCTAATGGGGGAGGAAGTTTTGCTCATAATTCTGGGTTTCTAGTGTAATCTGAATAATATCGATCTTCGGTGGGCTTGGATGAGGGAGCTGTTCCAATTTAACTTTATGAATACTAAGAACCTTAAATTCAGAAGGCAGGCTTTTATAGGAGTAGTGGAGATTTTGAAATGCAATTCGAAGAAATTGGAATAGACAGACTGAATATCTAAGTCAAAATACTCGAGGATCCTAAGGAACACAAAAGCCCATTGTAAGATAGTGCAATGAGGAATAGCGAACCTTCTTCTTAGGAATTTAATATAAAAATAGGTAATTTAAAAAGAAAGCTTATTTTTTAGAATCTGGAGAATAAATAAGTTCTAAATTCAAGCCAGAAATAAAGTAGCTTTTAAATCAAAATATTATATAAGAAAACAAAAATCTCTTTAATGTGAATTAAGCCAAAAGTATTTATACAAACAAAATCACACAATTGGTTGAACAAACATAGAAAAAAATTGATTTAGCTACAAAATCATCCCCAAGATTATCGTAATAATTAGAAATTCTATTCAATTAGGAAGAGTCAATAAAAATTATAGAGAAAATCACCAATTATTCCCAGAGATCAATATGATATGTCATCAAATGAAATGTAATCAAGCTAAATGAGTCCCGATGGCAATATGGATCCAGTCTAATAAAAATTAGCAAAAAATAGAGAATCGGCTCGAAATTCAAGGGCCAGAAAGAAAATATACTATGAACTCTTAGAAACAAAAGTCAAGGAATTGCAAGATGAAGTAGATAGATTAAAGGAATCTAATCGTAATCAATCAAAGTACACGGAGGTTTGCAATAAAACTCAAGAAAAGGTATATTTTATTAGTGAGTCTAGTTTTAAACTTTCTTAGATTAACAATAATAATTATTTGATAAATTAGAAACTTGTTTGCTTAAAAATAAGGATAATTTTGAAATTGCAATGGTTTTAGATGCTTTAAGATATAGAACCAATTCAAATAGTCAGGAACGTAATGATGCTGCTAGACAATATTTTGATTCCATGGTTGAAGTCTGCTTGCCAATTTAAACCAAATATTTGATATACTCGTTAGAGAAAGATAAGGACTTCTTCGCTTAATAATCAGAGTACTCTTTTTTTGTAATCAATAGTGATTATACCGACTGGATGAGAGAGACCTTTAAGAAGACACAGATTTAACCAGAACAAATTTTAAAGGTTAAAAAAATGAAATCTAAGCTTTAAAGCGTTAGAAATAATATATCAGAGTAATATCAATCTAAAAATATAGTTCAATCCAGAAAATTAAGGATCAATTAAAATCAATTCAAAGTGAAGCCAATAAAGTCGATTAAATGTGGGAGTAACTAAAAGAATGCTTAACTCCAGTTTAATTGGGATCATGTATTTTAGCCATGAGATAGGTAGATATTTACTTTTAGCTTAGAACTCTTTTCGTTAAGAGCTTCAAACCTCTTCCCTATTTCTTTAATTAAAGAATTCTTAAATGGTATTATTAACTATTATTCCACTAGAGTGAAGAGGATGAGAATTTTCAAAAGCCAGATCAATCTCATATTCCCAATAATAGGAAGCTTGTTAAAAAATCTATGTCATGATGAGAAATAGTTAACTATGCTGTGTTTATTTTTTTGTATTTGTAATTCTTTATTCCATTTTATTTGATTTCTTTTGTTTTTATAAAGTCGGTTTGCATATTTATAGAAATCTATTAATCCTTTTTTATATTGAACTCCTTTGTATAAAGTCAACTATATAGTGATAATTTAGGAAAAACATAGTTAACATAAATATTATATATCATTTATATTCTCTGAATAAAATTGGACTATCCTTATTTTTAAGTATTGAATGCGTGGATATAGATGTATTTCTAGTTGGAGAGGGAGACAAATCTCTTTTTGATCCTTTTTAGTAGTAGCAAACTTAATTCATTCCGCTAAACCTCAAACGTTTTGGAGGCTTCGTTGCTGACTTTGGTGTTCCTTTTTGAAAAGGACTACGCAAATTTTCTTCTTAATCTGAATCAGGAATAACACTATCCGAATCTCCTTAAGTCTTGAGCAATTTTTCACTTCTAACTGCCATTAACTAAGTCAAAGTACTCATTTAGTTAAATCAAAATGAATATCGATTTCAATTAAATAAATTAAAGAAAAATTTGTAAAATTCTAACATCTCCCAAGAATAAAATTTACTGTTAATCTTTGTTTTATACTTTTTAGACAATCTTCCTTATCCTCAACAAAGATTAATAAGATTAGCCCATTTAGGTGATAGTAATCTCATGGTATCTCACTTAAATTCGCATTAATCTATATATTGGAGTAAAATTCATTTTATTAAATTTATATTTAATGATGTAGTAAATTGTATAATGCGTATTAAATTAAGCATTTATCTAATTTAAACTAAGAGTTTGTATTTATCTTAATAATATAATAACAATAGTATATTCACTTTATTATTTAATTTGAATATATGTTTCAAATGATCACCATTCTTTCTTATTGTTTTCTTAATTTCTATACTACTCCAAAGATTTTTAAAATGTTTAAAATTTTTATTTCGAAATGAAATAGCATACTAAGAATGATGAATCAACATTATAAGTGATAAAAATTTATTCTATATGAATCTACTGGGTAATATTCTCAAAATTATTGGATCTAAAATGCAAAGTCAAGCGGTTTTATTTCTTTAATACTTTACAACTATTTTCATTTATCATAAATTAAATTCTAATTGATTAAATCACATCAACAAACTTCCTCCAACATTATTAAAATAAAATTATTTTTTTCTATCAACCATTTGACGCAGGACTGCTGTTATAATATACAAATTTATATCTGGAGACAACCTTAGAATTTGCATATTTGGAAACTATTTTGAAATTTACAATTTAATCACTTCACGAGGAATTGAAAGATTATTAATAATTACAGACTTGAGTTAATTGAGTTGATCAAAAAATATGAAGCAATTAAAGATTTTTAAATAGTAAGTTAGAAATTATTTTAATTTAGGAATCAATTGAAATCCAATTAGAAATTAAAAGGATAGAACAAAGGCTGAATTGACCCTTTAGAGTAAGTACTGATTTAATGTGAATCTATTTTGCGATATTGTACATTGTATACTCTTTAATCGCATAACCAGAAGTTATGTAAAAATTGTTTATAAAATATGTTAGTTGATAAATTGAGTTGCTGAAGAGAACGAACTTATTATAAACGGAGATGCTGTCACTTGAATAGCAAGTGATATGTGTCTACATCGATTGGAATTTGTGATAAATATGAATACTGTTTGTTTATTTTTTCAAATAATATGAATCATAATAAGAAAGAATCTTTAACCAGTCGTATAAATGATTAGCTCAACTGTTTTCAATTAAGTTTTTTGATGGGAGGTAGTGTAATTCTTTGGTTTTTAGGAATTTATGCAGGATGTCGAAATGATAAGACGTTGGAATTGATGTGTAAAAGCAGACATATGTCGTAATTATTAATATAAGGTTTTCTATTAATTATACCGTCATTAAATTAAATTATATTACATAGCAAACTGTAAATCAGAAATTATTTAGAGTCAAATGCGTATTAAATAGTGATTTTACATCATAATCAAATGAGTTCTTATATGCTCTCCATTCCTTGATCACTTAATCATTAATTTAAATATCATGTCAGAATAATAGAAATACATTGGAAGCATCTTATCAAGAACTAAGGCCTTGATCACCACAAATTACCAAAAACTCCCATTGAAGTAAGTTTTAAACTTATAATTAATAGAGCACCTAAATTTGTAGAGAATATCATTGTCTATGCAGACACAGTAAGTCAACCCCTCATTTAAAAAGTGACAGACACTGTGGATGACAACATAAATAGAAGTGTCTAGATAGTTCAATCGTACGAGAAGACTTTCAACATCGCAGAACAAGGACAGAAACTCAAATAGAAAGGAAAGGAACTTACTGATTAATTAAAAGAGAACTCAAAGAAGGCTTTGGATCAAGGAGTCGATTTGGCCAAGAACAATGGCGCGACTTAGTTTGTGCTTCAAACTTGTGACAATGTGGCTAATAAAGTCTTTAATACAATCGAAGGCAATGTGGCCAGAATGTAAAAGGCTATTTTGAAGGAAGCTAAGGCCACTAATTCAGAGTAAACTTATAATTAAAGGGCTGTTCAATTGGCTTATAACCTTACAGAATTGACTCAAGGACTCTTTACATTGTTGAAGAATGAGATTCACACAGCTGGAGGTTAAAGGGTTCAACAATTGAAGATCTTTGTTACTCTCAATTTTAAATAACATTTGAATGCCACTCTATTCACATATAAAGTGATTGTCATATAACCCATCTCCAGTCTTTATACAACTTCTTTGAAGGAGTTAAAGTCTTAACTTAATACTCTAAGGGAGAAATACAACAACCAAGAATTATTACAATACTTAATAGAATAATTAACACAACTCAAAGAATCGATCGAAGCCACATAGTATGAAGAATTCTAAACTCTTTTTTATACAGCTTTGAAATAGTTGAATCTCTTCACAATACTAAAGTCTTAATACTAAAAAACAATTTAAGCATATAAACATAGTTTAGATGAACAAAGAAAAGTAGTAGTAGTAGAAGAGGAGGAGAAAGAACCAGAGTAGGGAACTCAAGAAATATAAATCAATGAATGAAACTATATTGAGTATTGTGTTTAATATTTTATGTAATAAAATAACATCTATGCTACATCTGCTTCAAATACTTTATCACAATTTTGAAAAGAGATGATAGATAATAAATATTCAGTAATATCGAATATTTGTTTTACGATATCTATTATCAGTTATAAAGAGTTCATTCCAAATCAATGTCAAATCTATTAACCAAATAGTGCTTCAGTGTAATTGGCTGTTGCATACATAATTAAGAGACTATTAGTATTCTCCACAATATAATTAAATTATTATTACTATGATTGCACTTATATAACAAGTTGTATTAATGATGATGAATCAATTCTTTTCAAAGCAGTAGTTAGATTCCAAAAAGCATTTTTGTTGTTTTTATTAAATTTTAAGTTTTACTAAACCTAGTATAAATATCTGTTAATTATAAATGAACTCATCATCAAGCAGTCAACTGCTTCAGAAACTCTAACATCTATACTCAAGCAACAACAAAATAAGTGAACATTCAGTCTCTCCTTTGTAACCAAAACCGTTTGTCTGTAGAGAATTCAACTAATTACTTGAGAAATCATCCCCTATGCCTTATTTGCAAGTTAAACAACAAGATGTTGAACAATGGACAGAAAGACTTTTTAAGCCAAGTGATAAGGCTTCTTGCTCTTCTTTTACTCAAAATGAGAATGTGTTTGACATCCATCTCTAAAAATATTCCTAAATTTCAAGCATTTCCACTTCGACTTTCCCTGTGTTAGTATAAATTGAGAAGAAGGTCAAATTATTGAAATATGCTAAAGAGAATGATCACAATACGTGTGCAGCCATAATTGCTAAAATGAAGCTTTTCTGTTTAGATAATGCACAAACGTGTTATGACTTTTATAGAAGTACAGATCTGATCTTACTGAAGTATATGATCTTTCTCTTAATACAAGAACTAAATTAACGACCTACAGTTGAGAGATAAGAAAATAGTCATGATTAATCATCTTAATTCTCATCGATGGTTAAAGATATCGTTAATATTGTGTCTGAAATCATAGAAGAAGTGAAATCAAAGTCATTTTCAGGTTCACAAATAGATGTGTTGAATAAAAAATTAGCTAAAATTCAAAACAAGTTCAAGCCCGATCCCAACAGTACACAAAAGTCTTTTAATAAATCACATCATCATCGAATAAGTAGCTGCAATTTCGACACCTGCAAAACCCCTATTTCAAATAATAAGAACAATAAAGATTCCTACATTATCAGTGATAAATTTAAATCGGCATAATAGCCTAATAATGGATCTGGCTCCTAAAAAATCATTAAGTTTTAGATAGATGAATTGGAATAGAAAAAATAACTGATAAGCAAATTAAATGAACAAATCTCTAAATTATAGAACACTAATTAATAATATTAGACTTAACTTTAAGATCTAAATGGACAAATTGCATCTATAAAGCAGGAGTTGAAATTAAAAGAGGAAGAAGTAAAAATTTAAATTAATTACTATTTAGATTGAAAAGTTATCCTAATCATTGGATACGCTAAATTAGAATGATATAATCCATCAAGAAGAGAAGGAATAATACAATACTCTATTTCATGAATACGAGGATGAAAATGCTTAATTGAAATCGAGTTTGGAGCATTTCTAAGTATCATATCATTTAAATTAGAATACACTTGAGTTATGCTAATAGCAATTTGAGAATTAAAAACAAGAGACATTTGCTTATTATCAAGCATAATGCAATTAGATTTAATAAAATAAGGAGAAAGAACTTAATCATCTAAGACATGAATTAAAGGAAAATTAAGCTATTATTGTAATAACATTAATTAATCCTAGAATCACTTACTAGGAGATGCTCTTTATTTTGGCAAATAGTACAAAAGTCTTGTGGATAAAATAGATAATTTGAACCCAGAATCTATTGCCATCGACTTAAATCAACTTTAGAAGGAATTATTCTATTCTGAAAACACTCTCAATGCTAAATTAAATGCCATATCTAATTTCTCAGACAATTTATTATTTAATGCTGGGCAAGAATATTTGTCTCAAAGTCTAACTTAGCATTAAATGATGAATCCTTAGGGAATTCCTAAATCCATTATGCAATAATAAAACATCAGCAAAAGTATTTAAAACAATTACATCATAGCACAAAAGAATCAATTTGAAATAATGGAAATGCTACTGATTCAGAGTCAAGTTTTAGAGAAGTTTCTAATCTGATTACTACTATATATGCGTTGTCACTATGTTATAATAATCCAATCTTAATACATTGTTCTATCCTTACATTACGAATATATTTAAAGTTATTTAATATTATTGACAATATATTAAATATTATTTATTTATCCATTTATATGTCCTCAAACATTAATCATTACAAGTAAGTTCTGATTTAAAAGATAGGTACACATGTGCATCGAATTAAAACACAATAATAGATTCAGAGACTGTTGATGTTTCTGATGTTGAAAATTATCATGCCTTAGAAATCAAAAGTTTGGATTATCTCTTTGTTTGCAAAAAGTCTTCAAAGTGTCTTTACTTAGTCTCCTTTATTGATAGCTATGAAAAATATTATCTGAATACAGATTAAGAGATATCAGATTTTGCTCTGGCGTATTTTGCACAGTCATATTATTTGATAATCATCCAAAATTAGGTGGATATATAGTTTTACAAAATTGACTACCAATATAAATTTTCTTTGAATAATGAACTAAAAATAGAAGGATTATAATCACCTAAATTATATTGCTCACAATAAATAGGAGCAGTTTTAGTTGATAATACATAAATATATCTAATCCAATTAGACAATAAATTTATTAAATAATAACTCAAGCAAATGGCTAAATAGGTGATAATTTCAAGATGTTTAAAATACATATTCATACTCACCCAAGATTCCAAATTATAGGTTTTCAATTCGAAGACATTGTAACTCATTAATGAACACAATCTTAAATATACAGAATCAGAACCTTTGAAATTCTAGTTGTTTGAGCATAATAACTAAATAGCTCTTTTTACAATCACATCATAAAAGAGGGTTATCTTTTGGACTTTTGACAAAGAAGACCTACATACATCAAGTCTATTGCCAAATGAATCTGTGAAATTTAAATTCAATTCAAGGTACTTTATATCTTTAAAACATTGAAGCAAATAGCATATAGAATTATTTGATTTCTAAATAGATTCAACACAAAACTTTCTTTTCATCCTTTATTAGGCACAAGACATGACTGTGCAGATTTATGTAGCTCAACTGAACCAATCTTAAGTAATTAAGTTAATTATCATCCCTATTAGATTTAGAAGAGAGAATAGAGCAAGATTAAGCATATCAAAAAATTTGTCAAGGAGAGTTCAACCTCAGCATTTTTTATACAATTCATAATACCACCTGAGTAGACAACAAAGTTCTTAAATGGTGGAAATAAATGTGAATCTGAAAAGGAATACATTGAATTTCAATAAGGATTTAAAGATTTCTAAAATTAAGATTTAGAATTCACAGATCATGAATTACCCTATATTTTTGGATTGCAATCAGAGAAGAAGGATAAAATTGAATTATGTTGGTTTTATAGTGATCTTGTCCTTGGTGTTATTCTACCAGAGAATTTACTTTAACTTTACGATTAAAATACTTCGAAAAAGCAAGGTTCGAGTATTATTTAATAATCTCATTTAATTCCTCCTCCTTATATAAAAGAGGAGGATATGCAACAATTGTAATAGTAATAAAAGTGGGAAATTAATAGCAATAATAATACCAATTACAATAATAGCAGTTAGAATCAATTTGATCCCGTGGTCAAGGCGAATGAAATTATAGAAAATGAATTGATTCCAAAAGTTTAACAATGTTAACAATAGTAGCAACTCCAAATGATAAGTAATGATGTGAAAAAAGATCTAATTGAAGACATTACATTCATTTTTGATATCAAAGATTTGATAGAAGCTTAGGTAAAGAAGGAAATTGATAAATAAGGATAAAATGATTAATAAGCATTACTTAAATTAGAATAGCAATTTAAATATGATTTATGTTAATTAGAAGGTCAAATGGAATACGTAGTTAACTAAAATTTAGAGTTATATCAGCAAACATGTGAAAACTTTCTGATGGATAATTTTAATTAAAACTATTTTGAATAATTAATTGATGATAGGATAGATACTCATCTGAAATTGTTGGCAAATCAATAAATAAATCAAAATGAAGTAAATGTTAATTTATATTACAAGTGTACACAATTAGTTTAAAATACAACTAATGAGTATCTAAAGGACCAAATTGGTTAACTTTATTAAGATGAATTACCTAAGATGTCTTAAGGAGTTATCCAAATATTTGATAAGGTAATTTAATACTTTAATGACATGTAATTCATAGACTAAACTAAATTGATTAATTTTAATGCTTTCATTGATAACGCAATGCAATAGCTTTAAACTCTAAGCAAAAACATAGCTTAATTGGCTGAAAATAATCGGCCAGGATCAGATGCCCTATAAAAATTAAATTAATTGATTTAATAAACTGAACAAATGGCTAAATAGTATGAGGATGCTAGAAAAGGACTCAAATTAACTGAAACGTATTAACAAATACCTTAATAATAATAATAATAATAATAATAATAATAATAATAATAATAATAATAATAATAATAATAAAATATATCATCTGATGATAGACTATTAAAGATTGAAGAACATATTTTGAAATTAAGAAATGATTTATAAGCGTTAACTCAGAATTAATAAGTTTAAATTTAACCTGTAGTCGGTATGGATTAATTCATTAAAGGAATGGCTGCTCAATTAACTTAATTATAAATCAAATTAACAACCCCCTAAATGAACATATAATCAATTTAAGAGATTTTGAACTAATTGATTTTACAATTTCAATATTTTATACTTAAATTTGGATCATGATTCATAATTTTTGTGTGGTTTATATATGTATCTAATTTAAATGTGTTTATTAATTTAATTCGACTTTATAACGTTAATAGAATAATAATGAAAGAATCTTTTTTATTGTTATCAAAATTTAGTAATAATAATTTTTATAACAAATGATTAATTCCCAAACCCCATCCTCATTTAATAATAAAAGTTCTTATTTTGAACCGAAATTAACAGCCTAAAATAATCAATTGAATTCTTTCAGCCATTCTAACATATTTTAATAAAAGGAAATCTAAAAAGTCCCATACAAAAATCCAAATATTAAAGCTTTCGGATCAAAATCTGATGCACAAAAGTAGTAGGTGTTAGCACAGTAGCAGAGTTAAAATAGTCCCTTAAAAGCATCTACGCACAAGGACATCAATAAAATGACAATTAATAAGTATAGAACCAATAAGCAACTCTTGTGAGGAATAAAAATGACTCTGCACTGGCTAATTCTTAGCCTAAACTTATAAAAGTAGCTTCAGTAAAACAATTTTCTCCATTTCAACCTAAACATTCTTCCGATCAAATAACAAGTGCTCAGCAGAATTTCAAAGTCACAAATATTTAATCTAGTGCAAATAACAAATAGATTTAACTTGCAAAAACAACTAGATATGAATCCAACATCATCACGACAGAAAGAGAGCCTCGTTTCAAACGCTTTTCTACAAAAACCACTGAAGAATAAATTAATCCAGAATAACTTAATGCAGAGTAAGCTCTACCTAAAAGTAGATAATTTTCAAGCAATAATGAAAAGAAGCAGGAATCTAATTCAATAGGTCTTAATCCATAGATCAAAACTGAGGTTAGAGATATTTAAACTAAATAAGACAGGCGATAGAATTCTACTGGGTAATAATAATAATAATAGTAAGAGAATTCTAAGAGAACTAATTCATTAAAAAAAATAACCATACCTGCTGTTTAATTAGTTAATGTTAATTTTCCTAATGAGAATTTTTCAATAAATTCAAGAACACCTGATCACCTTTTGAATTCTTTACGCTCTCAAAAACCAAAAAATTTCTTATAAAGAATTCCACAAAAAAAGAGAATTACTTAGTAAAATTCTGAAAATGATTCGACTTGAGTAATAACAGTTAAAGATAATTATATCTCCTATTTTGATATTTTATTACATAAGAAATTATATTAAAATATATGATTATTGAATTGGAGGATAAATTAACTGCTTCAATTCACATATCAAATTTACAGGATCAAATTAATGGTGTTCTATAGAGTGATTTCTAACGCAAATTATTCTTTACGATCTGTAATAATGATAGAAATACAAATAGGCTTGGGACATATTATACATATATTTGATAGTTGTGTTGCTATGTTTGTATATGAGAGTCCATTAATACTGTTATTATATTTTGCATGTTATACTATTGGTCAATTGGTAGCCTTAAATAAATAAGTGAATCGTTGTCAATTTTATTGTTCGATATTGTAAATTGTTCTGATTTGCATATTATATTTGGAGATGAATCAAAATACAATTGTTATAATTGTTTTCATTATCAAATCATTGATTAATGGATATATGAACCAAGTGCTCTAGATGATAAGATTTCAGCTGGTTAAGATCTCTGTAAATGTAGGATACTTGATAACCATAGTGTTCAGTCTCATCGCAATAGCATGTAAGACGTTTGGGTATTCTGTTTTCCGCTTTATTTGTATTGCTGAGATTTGTTTATTAATAATATTCTTGAATCGAAGCTCTCGTCTTCCTCCTTTAATGGAACAATGCTTAGACAACGAATTTGATATTTATGTCAAATATATTGAAAAGTGCGCAGAGAATAATTCTATATTGAGTTTCGAAGAATAGTATATCTTTGATTAAATAATTTATTAGTAAGAATTCAAATGAGTAAATTTCTATTATTCAAACATTTTAAGTAAAAGTACATAGACCAACAATGAAAAAATTATTTACCAAATTGTCAAAGATCAATGAATAGATTTATACATACTTTGTTTGTTAAACTCTATAAGGATTGCTATTTTATAGGTAATTAAAATTATAACTTTAGTAATTTGACATACATCAAATATTTCAACTCAGACAACAGCAATAAATATATAGATATTATGCTATTATCCATTTTTGGAGCCTTTAGTAAACCTTTCTATCAATTCATGATTAGATTGTACACATAGAAACAAGTATATCAAATTTCATGTAAATTTCTTTATATTTTAGAATCAATTTGCATAATTAGTTAAATGTTGAAGATGAGTTACATCTATTACCAATCAGATTTGGTATTATTGATAGCTAGTTTGTTGCAAGCAGTCTTCCATTACAACATAACCACAGATATTAATTCAGTAACTTGGTCGATAATCTAAGGATTACCGAACAATGATTTTAGGATTATCATAAGTGTGTCGACACCTTGGGGGAATGTTTATGGCCTATAGCATTTATGACTTTCTGCATGAAAAATTGTTGGAATTCTTGTTCGTTTAATTGATAGTAGCCTAGATTGTATTGTGTTACTTTGGGTTTTAGACCAAAATTCAATTTTGATAATATTTATTTCAATTATAAAATAAACTCATCAAACTAATAAGAGACTTATTATAATCTTATGAGTTTAAGAATGAAAGTCTCATATCTTCAGCAGACTAATCTCAATCTACCTTTGGTATGGAAATACTAAATTATAGGTGAATGAGATCCAAAATCAAATAACATCATATTTTCAATGAACATTTAGCATATCGAAGTGTCTCATTATTAATTAATGAATCAAATAATTAACTTAATAAACTTCATATATTGAAGTATCAAAAAGAAAACTACTACTAAAGAATTGAAAGATATGAAATAGAGACCCCAACACATAGAATTTCTTGACTTCATAACAAGTGTAGGAGCAACCAAAATAAACTTTCCATAAATATATTCTGATTTCTTTCGGCCGTATTAAAAGATTAATTGGATTTATTTTTAAATCTAAAATATATCGCATTCAAACCAACTTGTTTTATTATCTGAATTAGGAAATTTCGTTCTTTTAATTTCAAAAAGAAAATACTTATTAGTCAAAATAACTATTCTATAAGATAAAATAAGCTCAAATTCCAAATCAAAACAGAAAGGTTATTTCTATATATTTATATCAAAAATTTTATATTAATAAAAATTATTAAAATATTTATTTACTACCTTTTGAATTGAATTAATTACACAAGTATATAGTTAGATATTTAAGATATAAAATTTTAAGTAAATTAACGCAGAACATTATAGATAAATATTTGTTAATCAACATCTTTTTCTTAATCAGGAAGCAAGAGATGCTTACAAAATACTTTCATTTTTATGAAAATACTTATTAAACTAAGATTCTCTACTATTTAATAACCTTAGGACACAAGTATTTAATTATAACTATGGTAATCTCTAAAATTCTTCCAAACTCTTATTGCTTTCAATCCTTCTTTGACTCCAGTATTGTTATTCCTTCAACACAGGATCGGTTTTTGTTTATATTCCCATTCCATGCAAATATTTCACAATTTGTCTTTCCATTATACTAATATTTGAGTCTGTATATAAATCTATAGACCTGTTAAGCTCATCTTTAGTACACTTAGTTTCTTTATTACTTTTGAAATTCAATAATGACAAGCAGGTGCTTATACTATCCATCAAATTTAATTATTGAATTAAATTACTCTTATACTTGTTCTTATAGAGATGTCGAATATAGATAAAACAACAAAATCTCAGCTAAAATCTGGAAAGAAATTTCCTTTGAACAATTAGAGTCACTAATTACATAATGAACTCGTGCTAATCTATGGAATATACAAAATTTATTAGATAAGTTCAGTTATGACCAGGAACGGCATATGCTGAACTTCGATATTATGTATTGAAAATGAATTTTTACTATTGTTTACTAATTTTGAACCCAAACTACTCAGGAAGAATAAATTCAATATGTGAAATAAACCTGCCAACCATCTCTTATTTTAGATATTAATGGGAAATTTAATAATATATAAAATATTATATATGATAAATATATTACATTTCAAACAATCATTTATTTAATTCTTCAAGTAAATAGGCTATACTAACATTATTCAAATTGGGTACTTCGACATCAAAGAATTTGGTCATTAAAGTATTTAATTTGATGTCTTAATCCTTCTACACATCCTCATTGAGTGGTTATGAATATTGATCGACAAAAGGTTTTTAAATTGAATCATCCCGGTTTTAATTATTTTAAATTTACTGTTGAATAGCTTGGGCCATCTATTATTTTTTTTCCTCTTCATCTTAATATGAGGCCTTCCTTTAAGCATTTTATTTCGGTTGTACTGATAATTGAATCAATTGACTCTGATAATTTTCACTTATGGGAAATGATTATTTCGATGTTTAGTTTACAAATTAATTCTTAGAATATTGGTAAAAGGGTTATTGCTGATATTATTCAAAGGAATTTCTTAAATAATTGGTCTTCATTTAATATATAATTTTTATATTATATAATTCACATATATTTATTATAGTTTTAACTATTTTACTATTGGGATAATGAGGTTAAAGTTTTCATCTTGTCTTGGATGACTAAATTAGATTGCATTTGTGGCATTTGTGAACTCCTCAAAGAACTTGGAATATTGTTATAGTTGAATTATTCTTAATACAGTTTTTGATTAACGCTATTAGTTTACTTCATTTGATCAACTTACTGAATGGATCTATTGATTTAAGCCATAGTTTGATTGATTTAATCCTAAATGGAGTTAGTTTTGTTGATGTTAGCCAAGGAGCTATAATTATTATCAAAGGAAGAGTGCTAAGTTGATATTACTCTGCAAGTAGAAGAGGAGGAAGGAAGTGTTAGTTATTTTTATGATTACTACTATTTAATTATTTAGACTTATTCTTTTTGATATTTTTCCAGCTGTTATTACAATTGGTTTATTTGTGAATCCTTTTATGCAATGAGACTTTCCAATAATTCTATTTTCTTGTTCTTGTCTAAAATTTATAAGTTAAGCTAACGATTCTTTTCTTCAAAGTTGTCTTGCTTATTAACCATTTACTTGTTCTCTAGCATGTCTTACAAGGCTTGGATTTAATTCTTGTATAGCAACAATTATTCTTTAGTTTCTAATTTGTATTGATTAAAATTTTTTCTCTCTTATTCTCTAACTCTGGTTTCTTCAGCTTCCAGTAATTCTCTATGAATTTGCTTCTCTTCCAAAAGTTCTTATTTCATCTACCCTAATTGCAATTTCAATTAATTGATCTCTTCTTATTTGGATTAAAGTTTTGATTACGAAATGAAGTTTGTTTCATCAGAATCAAACTTATTTTCATTTCTACCTATTTCTGATTAATAAAATCGCTTGGATGGAAGACCTAATCAATTAATACGAATATTTACTTTCAGTTGATTTGATCTCCTAATAAGATTGAGTTTTAAGTAATTACACTATTTATTCTAGTTCTTAATTTCTCTATTGCAATTGCTGATTCTTTTATTGCAAATTTTAATACTTTTAAGCCCATTTTTCAATTTCTTTAGTTTATTCTTCAACTGTCTAAAATTTAAATTAGTTGTACCGTAATCAATTCTTCCATTTCCTATGGATATTGAGTTGATTTCTAAGTATCAATTTAATTCTAGAGGATTTCGACTTCATTTGTTTTCTTCTTTAAAGCCTATGTAAGTCTTTCAACTTACGTGGTAAGCAAGATGAGATTCTATAAATATTCCTCATAAGTACTTTATTGTATTGATTATCAACATTCTCAAAGTTGGACACTTTTGAATTCTGCCCTTTTTATCTAAATGCACTAGTCTCCATAAGGTATTAAATTTTAATATTATTAAATATAGATCAAAATTGTAAAAAGGATGCTAAAGTAGCAATTGACTTTAGACTCGTTTTTTGTGACATTCCTATGGACATTCTGGGCAAAATTCACAAATATCAATCTTCCCCTCATGAAATTGTATCCACTCTGCAACTTCTAACTAACCTTCTGATATAACTCTACAAAATGGGATTATATTATTCCATAATTAAAATAAATAAAATTTCTCTCAACCATTATGTCAATTCATTCAGATCACCCAAATAAATTGTGAAAATTATCATTTAGAACACTTATGTAAGTCTTCTTACTTCTTGTCTTAATTGGATCAACCTGATTCTCAAAAGATTTATTAGAAATTTTGATATTTCTATAGGTAGTAGAGTCGAGATTAAATAAAATGAAAATGTATTTACAATTATTTATTAATTTAATCCTACTTCAGAATTATGATTTCAGTTGTTTAGACATAATAGATTATATTATATTGTTTTGATATATATGCAAATGGTCCTTCTATAGGTTATTTCTTATATGTTAGAATTGATATTATAACTTTTGATAATAATATAATTATAATTATCTGTTAGTATGGAAAAAATTAGTGTGTGTTTAAGAGTAAGACCACTCAATCAAAAAGAAATTAATGACAATGAAATAATAGCTTGGGATGGAAGTGACTCAAAAATTTAACTTAATAAGATTTGTTTGAAGGACTTAATTGCTTAAAAAAAAGTAGTCAATAGTTTGATTTACGAATTCAATCATTGTTACGGACAACAAACTGACAATTATTACTTGTTTTCAACATCAGTCAAACAAGTAATTATGCAATCTTTAGATGGAATCAATGGGACTGTCATTATGTATGGATAGACAGGGTCAGGCAAAACATTTACGATGTTGGGGAAGAGGAATCAGGAGATGTTACAAAACAACAATAGCAACATTTAGTAATTGATCAAGGAGAGTTTTGCAAATAATCAATATAACGATGTTGGAATTTTGATATACTCGATGATGGAACTATTTAAACAGATTAATATAGTAAAAGCTACTTCAATATCACTAGGATGAAAAGAGATAGTTCGAAATTAAATGTAGTTATTATGAAATCTACAATGAGTTTATTTATGATCTCTTACGTGAAGAAAATGAGTTATCCGAACCTCTCATTTTTGGAACTGATTATCGAAAGGTATACATGGAAATATTTACTTAAGGAATTTGTAATCAAGAATATCAAAGAATACAATGTTACCTCCATTGAAGATGTGATAACATGCATTTCAAAGGGAGAAAAAAATAGACATTACGCAGAAACCATATTGAATCATCAAAGTAGCAGAAGCCACACAATCTTCAAAGTGCTCATAAGTGCTTATTCAAATGAATCGGAAGAAGAAGAGAACTTTACTTTTTCGACTGAAGCATGCATCAATTTCATTGATTTGGCTGGAAGTGAAAAAATATCATCCAGTCCCATTTCAGATGATGTTACTAGAAATTCTAATAGAAAAGACAGAAACAAAGAAAGCTCAGCAATCAACAAGAGCTTATTCTTTTTAACAAGAGTCATTGCATTAAAAACTTAGAAGGTTCCACCTCAGCACATTCCCTATCGCAACTCAACGTTAACCAAATTATTAAAGTAATTTATTTATTGTTATAATATTCTATAGATCTTCACTCACAGGAAACTTCAAAACCTTAATCATATTGAGTATCAATCCAGGATTGAGCCAGTATGATCAAACACAATCCACTCTAAGATTTGGCACGAGTGCTAAATTGGTTGAGTCTAAAATTGAATAGAATGTCAATTTCGATGCTTCCTATTCCAACAATCAATAAAAATTGAATTAGTTAATCTAAAAAAATAAATAAAATGAAAAGATCATTTCAGATTAATAAAAGATTATTGACTCATTAAAATAACAACTACAAGCATCAAATTATTCAGAAATCTTAACAAATCTCAAATAATCAGAAGTTTAATTAGCTTCAAAGCCGTCAGTAAGCTAATTCAATGAAACTGATGTCTCACTTCTAGAGAAAACTTAAGAATTAAATTCTCAATTATAACAAGAGATGGATAAGAACATACTATTAGAGAAGAATTGCACAGAACTTCATAAGAGATTATAGAAATCTAATGAGCAAATTCTTACATATTTTAATTCTCATAAAGAAATGGAATAGTAAATAAAAGAATTAAGACTTCAGAATGAGAAATACGAAAAATTATCATAAAACGCTCTCAATAGACTGTCATGTTATGAAGGATAGCCAAATTTCAAGAAATTTAGTTTAGAGGAGCTCCAAAATTTAGAACATCAAATATAATAATGTTTATAAGAAATAAAAGTAATTTAAACAATTTTATTTATATTTAGATAGAAAAATAAAGAAGAAATTCATTTTAGTAGTTAAATATCGATGCTATGCCCTTGTTTACTTAACCAACAGAAACTTTGAGATCTGATAGAAGCAGTGCTAGTTAAGATTTTCGTAGAATAGAGGAGTAATAAATATCTAAAAATTAGAGAAGACTCTGTGACTAAAAGCTAAAAGAAAACTCCCAAGAAAGACGGAAAATTATTGCAACCTAAAAAACAACAACAAAGTTATTTTAAGGCTACGTCTACTAGGTTGTCGACTCTTTCAAATAATGAAAATAAATCTCCTTTACTTAAAAAACCAAATAATAGGGATGCACAGAATTTTACCAAAAAAATTCAAGGTTAGAAAAGTATTTTTCAATATTATTTAGTTTAAAAAACTACTTAAATTCAAAGTGAATACAGAAGCAAATCTAATGAGAGTCACTCAAAGCAGAAGGGAGCTTAATAACCTTAGCAGGAGTAGAGTAAATTAAAAAATGACATATAATCATTGGCAGATAGATTATATTCATTATCTGAGAAGTTTTAGTTGAACAGAGATACGAAAGTGAATTAAAACAGAAAAAGCACTAATGTGAATAGGCCTGAGATCATTTATGAGACTGAATCGGAACTATTGGGAGACAGTAGATCAACTATCCATAAAAGCAATCGGTCAGCTGTAAAATGAGTTATTATAAATTCAATTCGAAAATTACTGCTAAATATTAGTTTAAGAATGAGGTTTGTTTTTAAGATTTGAGATGATCAAGTTCTGGATTAAAATTTGAAATTTGGTTAGTTTGTAAACCTGAATTTATTGTTTAAAAAAATATATTATTTATAAGAAATGCAGAAAATCAATGACAGAAAACAGCCTGAAGCGGCCAGGAGCTCCAAGAAGCGTTTTTCAATTTCCAGAGAAATAGCAAATAGAAAAATGAGCAACTCCAATTTATACTCGTCAGAAGATAGTAAAATAAGAATGCATGGTAGCAGGCATTCAGTTTCATCAATCAAAAGCAAACAAAAACTTAACCTCTCTATGAACAAGGATCTATCTAGAGGATCATCATCATTCTCCAGCGATTCAGAATCAAATAAGGAACCTTAAGAATAATCAATAATTTTGAAGGATAATATCGGAATTATATAATAGGGGCAATCGTCCTTTTATTAAATGTAGGATAAATTAATTTTGCCTAATATGTCATTTGAATAGGACTTTATGAATCCTTTGGATATTTCTGACGGAATTGAAAGATCCATTTTAAAAATATAGTTTATTGATTTCGAACACAGATGGGGAATGAAACAAGACGTCAATCTACAGATATAATGTGGAGGAGATAATATGCTCGTGTCTTAAGCGAGTGAAGGTCTGTCTTCGCACAAGTCATTAAGAATGTCTCATCGAAGCAAGAAAGGGGCGTTATAATCAAAGTTGCAAGTAATTCAAAACAAAGGCAAGTAACAGATAAGTGATAGCGAAGAAGATGATTATGATGATAATTAATAAGAGAATGATAAGATTATAAAAAAGCATCAAAAACTTTATGAAAGAAACCCATTTGAAGATCCTTATTATATTAAACTATAGGATCTGCACGGATTCGAAAGGTTGCACTATGAAATAAATGTAATATTACACATAATATTTAGGCTTATAATGATGATAAACGGTTTCTGAAATTAAGGAAAAAAATAGTATATTATTCATTATTTATTCCGATCCTGTGCAAAAGGATAATCAATAGTGTTTTATTTAAAATCATCATGTCCTTTCTGATCATTTTTAATGTCACTTTGTACATTTACTCATAAACTTACTAAGACCCAAAATCAACTAAAAATATGGAGAAAATCATAATGGTATGTTTCTTGATAGAATTGGCTATTAGGATAATTGCTTCAGGAGTAATCATCCCAAAAGGAGCTTTTTTCAAGAATTTCTAGGATATATTTGATTGCATTTTGGTTGTCGTTTATGTTTTAAATCTCAATTATACTGAAGTTTTTATTGTGGATATCTCTCCACTAAGAATGATAACTTTACTACTGTATTTAGGAGACATATTCTAGGGATTGGGAGTGATGTTAAAAGCACTGAAGCAATCTTTTAGATTTCTTTTAGAAGCCTTAATGATAGTTGGATTGTTTTCTTTGTTTTTTGCTATAACAGGAGTGTTCATGTTTCAGGGGTTATTTAATTATAGGTGTCAATACGATAATGGAGATGAAACAGATGGTTGGATTTAGTGCAATCAAAATTCATGTTTTGAAGAGGGGATGTCGTGTTAGTTTTCATCTTTCACTCCTAAACCTCCTACTTCATTCAACAATGTGGTTTATTCATATGGCCAAGTTTTGAGAACAATAACAATGGATGATTGGAGTTGGGTAATGTATTTTACGATGAGAATCTATCATCCCTGGACTTGGCTATATTATTTATTTATTATTTTTGTTTGTGGTTTCTTTGGATTCAACTTGGTTATTGCAGTTATTAAAATTCATTATGCTGAGGCGGCAGAGGAGAATGCAAAGGAAGAAGAGATGAGATAGATATAGTAGAAGATTAAGGAGAACAGAGAATTACCAGAAAGGGATATTATTAATGTATTCGATGTTGCATTCTTACGATACATTAAGTTTTTTCCTGTTATTCAAAGATATAGATAGGCATTGAAATCTTCATATCGATCCATCAAGTTGGAGGATAATTTAAATGAGAAAGGCAATTCAAGCAAAACAAGAATACTGTCAGCAAAGTAGAAAAAGAATGATGATTACAATTCACAAGTAAGAATATTATCATTTTATTTAGTTAGGGGTATTTAAGAGAATTGTATAGAAAATCTAGAATTTTACACTTAAAAATATTCTTCTGCCAAAATTTTAAATATTGAATGAAAAACAACATAATATTCACATTAGAAAATACACTGAAGATGAAATCGAGTTATAAATATTGGAGAGATTGAAATCTTTTTAATTCTCATAATTGCAATCTTGTGTCAATTAGCAAATTCAATAAAGATTTGAAAGTGAAGTTGATGTTTTACCAACTCTGAAGTAATTGCATTGAATAACATATATAGCTTACCTGATTGTGAGAAAAACGAAATTGAGAAAGAAATCCTTAACATGAGATTCTTAAAAATACCAGTCGTTTATCCAGATATCAAATAGAAAAAGATTGAGCAAATTACTCATGATCATAAGAAATTAAGTAAATTTCCAGTAAGAAGAGTGAAAAGGATCATTATTAACTAAACTGAAGATGAATAACATGAGACCAATAATTCCTTAGATCAAAACATGTTTAGTTAAAAGCAGAGTATTGCACAATCGCACAAGCTGAAAACTTCATAAGGTGATAACAACGTTCCATTTGCAATCAAGAAATAAGATCAGATTTATGTCTATATCCAAGGATATTACTTAAATTATGAAGGAGTCTAGACAAAAATTAAAGCTAAGATTCAGAAGAATAAAAATTCTCAATCTTCCAATGAATTTCAATACAGATTGCTAAGAAGAAAGGATATTCAATAGAATCAAATTTCGAAAAAGGCTTGGTCTGGAAACGATGTATTAAAATTAAATGAATCAAGATTGCTCAATTTCAAAGATGTATTAAAAAGACTCAATCTTATTGATATCTAAATCTGGATGCTTGGATTTAAAGGGAAGCTTGAAACACTGCGTAAATATTGTTATCTCTTAATTACATCTTAAATAAGCTAACTGTTTTTCGATCTTATTATTTTGATCAATTTTACATTCCTATCATTGTAAGGAATAGCTGATTCAGTCACGATATCGAATGAAGAGGATGTTTCAACCATATTCTTATGCATAGAATTGGTAATAAGATTTTTTGCCTTCTCTTTTAAGGACATAGCACAGAGTCCTGACTATGTTTTATAATCTTGTATTGTGACTTTGAACTTCATCGAACTCACTATGAGTTCAATAATGACAAATTTAAACGAATAAAATCTTAGATTGATAAGAGGTACTAAGTGTCTTCTCTTTTATCGAGTGCTGAAATATAACAAAATGGCAGTAGCTATTGGACATATCGCTTAGAGAACATTTCGACAATACATATACTTGACATTCTTATTTTTTTTAGTTATCTTCGTATATGCAATGATAGGTATGGAGATGTATGCTGGTTATTTTGATTAAACAGAAACTCTAGGATAATTACATTCTTATGATAATATTTTTAAGGCATTTATGACAATATTCAACATTCTAACAAATGATGATTGGTATGGAGTATATGTTATGGGAGGTAATATCAATTATGTATTTGCTGTGATTTATTCATATTCGATGGTTATTTTGCTCAATTATATAACATACGGTTTGGTGTTGGCTATATTGTTGGATGGATTTGGAACCATAAATGATGAGATGTAGGAATTGGAAGAAGAAAAAGAGAAAGAAAAAGAAAAAGACGAAGATAAGAATAATGAGAAATAAGAGGAATAGAACTCATAGATAACAGAGCAATAGGAAATAAATGACTTTTAACTGAATTTAAGACCGCTGATATCATAAATAAATATTAGTGAAAATCAATAGAAAAAATCAAAATAGAATTTAATATCAAATCTTATGAAATCAATAAGTAAATATATATATTGAGATTATTTAATAGGACAAGTTCATAAAGACATCCTTAGCCAATATCCTAATTTTTATGATGGAATCCAATGTCAATAATCGTTGTATTTATTTGAAAAAGACAACATATTCAGAATAATCTGTTGCAGAATAATCACCTCAAATTTCTTCATCTACTTTATGGATATAATATTATATTATTCAATCATAGTCTTTGCTCTAAAGACTTATAATGATTATGAGAATGATGCATCTATTTATCCGGAAGTCTTGCAATTCATAGCTAATATTTTCATTTTATTTGAAATAATTTTGGGTAGTATAGCAAAGGGGATGTGGATGAATAAAGGAGCTTACATCACATACACATGGCAAGTAGTAGATGTAATTTATATCATCTCCTTCTTCTTCCATTTCCCATCTAATGAAGAAAAAAAACCTATTGTCAATTTCTTTTTATATTTTGGATATTTCAGAGTAATGAAATTGATGTATAGACTATCATGGTTAGATAAATTGAGATTGGCATTAGGTAGATCTTTAGCCGATATTTGGAATGTGTTGATAACAATGCTTTCAGTTTGGATCATCTTTGGAGTTTATGGAATTATCCTTTACGAATAGCAGTTTGGATTTTGTGATGATAAAATGCAATTTGGTATTAGCAAGCGAGAATGTTAAGAGTAGAATGGGACATGGATCAATTATAAACATAATTTTGATAATATCACAATAGCAATTCCTACTTTATTTGTGGTTTCTACTTTTGATGGATGGGGTGAAATAATGCAAATGTCTGAGAACAGTCAAAATTCAAATATAGGTCCTGAAGCATTTAATAGTTACATTCACACTTATTTCTTTTTTATATTTTTCTGTTTCATAGGTTCAATGTTCTTTTTGAGTTTGTTTACAGGAGTCTTGTATGCAAATTTGAAGGAGAATCAGAGTAAGATTGAGATGTCAGACATTACAAAGGCTTAAGTAGAATTTATGAAGATCTCATAGATCATAATCAAAGATTTTCCATTGTATTCTTCACCTCCTACATCCACAATTAGAAAATTTGCATCTGATTTAACAAACAATAATACTGTCCAAAAAGTTATGTTTTGTTTATTATTACTTGATTTAATCGTGCTGCTGTTATTCTTTTCGGATATGGATGATACATTTTTCAGAGCATTGAATAATACTCATAATAGTTTAACTTATATTTACATTTTGTGGAATATCTTTTTATTTTTAGCTTTAGGAGTCAATAGATTTTTTGATAATTATTGGAGAAGGTTCTATTTCTTCTTGATCACAATAGCCATAATTGATATTATTGCTGACTATGAATCTGATTGGGCATTGGCATATTTTAGATCATCTCCAGCTGATTCAGGATATCAATTTCTTAGATTATTCTTTGCCCTTAGATGTCTGAGGATTATTCTCATTTTCTAAGGATTGATAAATCTATAGAGATTAATGAGAGTTATGGTTTTTGCTTTACCATTTTTGGGCAAGATCTTTAGTTTATTGATAATTACAATGTATATTTTTGCCCTTTTTGGTTGTCATATGTATGGTCAATTAGAAAAAGGATAAGTGATGGATGATCAAATCAATTTCCAAAATGTAGCTCAAGCCATGCTTGCTCTATTCAAATGTGCATCAGGAGATGATTGGAGAACAATAATGACTGATACTATGTTCTACAATCCCTATTGCACTGAAGATGAAATCTACTGTGGAAGTATCTATAATTAGATATACTTCTTCCTCTTCATGTTATTGTCAAACTATGTTCTGTTAAATTTGTTTGTCTTAGGTTTGGTGGAACAATTTGAGCAATTCTTTATGCTCTAAAATTCAATGATTCAGACTTACGTTGAAAATGTGGATAAGATCAAAACAATCTGGTGCAAGTACTCTTCAGAAACCCAAGGTTAAGCTATGCACTATAAATTTTTGTGTCGTTTCTTGATGGACATTGGAAAACCTTTGGGCGGTGGAAAAGATGAGAATTTGTGGGATGTGGGCAAATTGGCATCCTCATTTAAATTACAATGGTATTGGTTGTTATAAATAAAATAGTGATCATTTTGGATACATCTAATATAATCAATTAATGTACGAGCTATTCCGAGTTTGTTATCATGTTGAAGTATTCAAAAATGGCACTTCTTCTTCCATCAAGAAGATCAAGCAATTCAATAAGGAGATGCAACTACGATTGATGTATTATAGGAGAAACAGATTTCTGCAGAGAACCAACATTAGTCCCATTCTACATTTGAAAGCCAATTTCAACATTTTGCATGATTACTTGACGGTTCTTATCATGTATAAGGCTTGGGAGGCCTTCTCTAAAAAACTAATTAAGAAATTAGCAATTAAATAAAATCAATTCACTGAACAAGATTTAGACGAGCAAGACTCTTCTATCGATCAAAAAACTATGAATAATCAATAGTAATTATTTGATTTACATCATTAGTATTGATTAAGATTGCAATGAATTTCTATAGGAGGACATTGCACAATAAGTCTTATCAAAGGAACAGGTTCCACCGGAAAATGTCCATCAAATCACCAATTGCTCAGATGATGGTCAATCTAAGAAAGAGGACATCCCTGTTTACAAATGGCAAAGTGATTAACAATCAGGAGGACTATATGAAAGAGCCATCATTTCTCCGGATTAATCTTTCAAAAAGAGGAAATATTGATTATTTTCATAATACTTTTGATACTCAAATATTTATTCTTTGCTTTTAGTAATAAACAGAATTCCCTATGTTAAATCATGTATGATTACATAATTAATTAAAGTTCAAAAGCAAAAATAATTTGTCATGAATTTCGATATCTAACAAAATGATTCGCCCAACTCCAATTAAGATGAATGTGCAAATATGGATTCAGATTTACAGGATAAAACCTAAACTCAAGTGGAAAATGACTATTTCCTGAATAAGATTGAAACTCATAAGTTTGTGGTTGGTATATCCAAACCTGGGGATTTGAGAATAGGTCTATAAACAGTAAATAAAAGCAAAATCACTGTCAGAGGAATTCTAGGGATACAAGAAAAATAATGAATATTTAAATTATTTCTTCCTAATATTTGATAATTTTTATTACTATTTTACTTAAAGGATCAATCATTACAATGTTCTATTTTTATCCCTAAAATTACTCCATTATATTTTGAACCATTTTCATTAAATTCAAGTTTAATTTTACAAATATCAACTTACCCCAAGACAAATTATTTAACTTATTATTTTTTTATAATGCGAATTTTAATAATTAATTGCTATGATAACAAAGACCTAGAAAAATTTTAACATTTCCAATTTCATGTCATGAAAGTATAATATTATACCATCTTAGTATTTAGCAGAATAAAAAGAGTTAATAGATACAGAAAATGAATTTTACGTTCGCAATAGGGATACCATTGAGGATTTCCTATACGAAGTAGAAAGCTCTTATGTGAAGAAGGAATCAGCTCTAAAATTCGATCAACTTGATGTGATATTCATTATAGGGGATTGTCATACACGACCTTGGGCTGTTCATATGGGTATGGATTAAGGATTTACAGTTAGCAAAAATATTGGTTTTGTTGAGGATGAGTTTGAGAGTATAGAAGTTACTATTTGCTTCCGGATTTGCCATGCAAGCCTTAGTATATTTATCAGCATCTAATATTGAAAGAGTACCATCTTATTAATATACATAAGCCTATAAACCTAATCAATTAGAATGGGGGTAAATTATCAGATCTAAGGGAATTAAAGATCCAAATATAACAGAGTGATATGTTTTTGGAAAACACTTCAGGAGATTTGTATGTATTTAATTATGAATCCTCTGAATGGATTCCAAAGTTAAATGTGGGCATCCATTTAAGGAGTGCAGCACAAGAATTCTAATCTATAGGAAAGTATGTTGTTAAGGCTCCCATCTACAAACCTAAACAAATGGGCTCGTTTATTAGTAAAAACAAAAACACCGAAACAGTTGTTTCAATAAGAAATGTATACTTATAGCATTGGGTATGACATGATATCTAAATCAATAGGCATTTAAGGATATTGAATCTCGATTTTTAGCTCCATTATTGAACAGATGGGATGTGCACAATTTCCAATTCAATAATTCGGAAAAGAAATTTATTTGCCTCGCAGAAAGTGATGAAGGACCATCTATAATTGAGTATCCAAAAGCTTTGGCTTGCATGTTTGAAATAGATACCAAATATCCTTTCACAAATACATTGCTAAAAAACTTTGTTTAATATGCAATGTACAATATAAAAATCTCAAAGTAAATAAGCTAATTGATATTTAAGTGCCTCCAAACCTTTCGATTCAATTGAAAACTATCATAAAGTTAATACAAAAACATCATCGATCTTAGATCTCTTAAAAAACAACAATAATTAAAACCAAAAGAAAAGTACTCTCGAATTAATGCAAATTAGAGGCAAAAATGGAATAGCTTCTTAAAGTCAATAGAAATTGGCTCATGCTTAAGAGGAATAAAAGTTATAATCAATGTAGAACACTCTGAAAAGAAGAAGCAGCATAGCACATGTTGGATTTACACTAAATAAAAATGTACCTATAAGAACAGTAGAAGTAAATGCGGTTGGAAAAAGAAAGATTAAATACTAATAGGGATAATAGCATTCAAGAAAGATAAGTGCTGATGAGGCATATTTAAAATCAATAAGAGATAGTGAAGAAGACATTTTTAATGAACCAGAAATCATATAGAAAACACAAATGTTAAAGACACCAAGCCAATCAGAAATAAGAAAATTGTTGCATCCAGAAATATCTAAATCTTGTTTGGAAGTCAAAGAAATTTGGATTCCAGGTCATCTATCCGAGTATCAGAAAACCTAAGGAGATAAAAGAATAGGTAAGATTGGAGGATCTTTTCAATCTACTTAAATGAAGAGATGGATTTGATGAAAATCTTGATAATAAAACTAAATTTACATTATTTATATTTTTTAGTTTTCTTAAATTGTTTAACAAAAGGCTTACAATGAAGGATTATGCAAAGGATATCTCTTTACTTCACTCTAAGACATTTAACTTTTCCTTTTTAGAAAAAGCCTTAACAAAGGAATTAAGGCTTCCTTAGAAATTGTAGCTGCAAATGATTTGAATAGTCTAAATCAGAAACAAGGGACAATTTGCCTCATTCCTTACAAACTAAGTTTCGATTCAGTTTTTTTAACAATTCTTATAAACTGGCTTAAAATGAGAATAATTATTATTTGCTCATTTTTCATTGGAATTATTTGATTGAATAATAAATTAGACAATTATTGACTTTATTGATTTAGGCTACGGAAGGCTATTTTTGTAAGTGAAGAAGTTGTTCTGCTCGTTAAGAGTTTATGTCCTAATATTAGGAATAACCTTTTTTAGTGTTCACATCTAAAATTGATTACTATTATAAATCAATAAACTACTAGTCATTATAGTATATTTCATCATAGTGTGGGTAGAAATAGCATAAATTAGACTGATTTATTACATAACTTTTGAGTAAAAGTTAAACATGGAATATATTTTTATTAGATTATACCTGAAAGAAATGAGCATATTATCACTTAAAAGATCGGCTAACCAATAGTTTTAATTGATAAACAAAAAACATCAATTATAATACATTGTTTATTCTGAAAATTTTGATAGTCCTTAATTTTACTCTCGACTTCTTATCAGAAGGTTACTAAGGATAATCTAAGTTTAATAAATAATAGATAGTTCTCATTGATAGGATCAAGGATATGAGGCCTACAATACTCAAAAGATGGTTTTTTATTGTAATCACCATATCTCATATTTATTGAAAGGTAGGTCTTCCTATATTTAAAAAAGAGTAGAGTGGCTGATTTCGCTCACGAAAGTACAGACTGGATTAATTTTGAAGATTAAGCCATTTTTATATTCATATAAATCAGCCTATCACATTTAAGATGATAATTCTTAATATTATGAATTTGCGGCAAGTAAAATATAATATAATTTTAGAAAACAGAAATAACAATTTTGATATCTAATCATTAGAAAAACAATGATTATTCTAGAAATTCACTAAATCATCAAAGCAGTTCCAAACGAGATTGTCCATTTAAGGAAAAATAAATTGAAGTTTTGACTATAATTAAATAGAAATGATCTAAATGAATTGAGCATATAGAAAAAAACTATTCTTTGCTTAATCAAAAATGTAGAAAGCATAGTTCTCAAATTTAATTGGAAAAATAAACAATAGTTTTCAATTAATATCTTTGCTATAAATTCTGTTACTGGTATTTAGTGGAGTAATAATAATTTGAAATTTGAGTTACTAAGAGAAGAAAATTGAAGAGTAGAATTAAAGAATATCTAAAACTAAATAAATTAATAAACATTTTTTATAAAGAATCTTGATTCCTGTATTTATTGCAACAAAATGTCAATTGATTTCTCTTGATAGTTAGATGGAAACACAAAATTATATTACTCAACTATCAATTTTGATAAAGTATTAAGAAATCTTTCTTTATTTTAATGTTCTAATGCGAAAACAAGTTTTGGAGGTTACATTTCTAAAAATGTTTTGATGAAGAAACCAATAGGATCGTGTTATTTAAAGTTCTAAGAGAAATGGCATGATTGAATGATATTAATATTATTATGATTGAATATTGATTAGCATTTTCTACCTTTTTTTGAAAAGATATAAATTTTAGATGTTAAACCGTGTCTCCTTACTTAAATTATTAAATTGCTTTAATATTAATATTTTTTATTGAGTTATTAATGAGGAGAGCATTAAAAAAGAAGAAAATAAATGATAAATTAGGAAAATTAGTCTTCAATGGTTTAGTACGCATGTAATAAATAATCATCAGAAATAAAATTGACCCAACTTTATTTAATCTGGTATTTGCAAAAATCCTTTTGTTAATTTCGGCCTTATAAGAAATTTAATTAGTCACATCGACAGAAATTCAAAATGAGGCTTCTATGTAAATACAAGGTTCATTATTGTCTTTTTTATAAAAGTTTTCAATAAATCTAATTTAATATAATGGAGACGAACTATTGTTATTTTTATTGCTCTCAACTGAAATTATATACTGTATAGTGGTGCTAATTGTTTATTTTGATAGAAAGGAGAGATTTATTCTAGTAGGATAGTTTTACAAATATTTTCAAAATATTTTTCACTTAATAATTTTTCTGCCAACATTAAATATTTCATTTAATTTTGCAATATCTTTAAATTATATAGAATTGTCAATAATTGGAATAATATTAGGTCTATTTTTAGAATTAATCTATTGTTTTTGTAATATTAAAAATAGTTTAATTGAAATTGAAGGTTGTTACTCATCCAGGTTGGCTAATTTGTTTTATCTATTAATGCAGTTTATAATTTGTTTTGTAGTTCAAAATAGTTATTAATATTCAGTGGCTCCAACTTTATTGCTTTTTTCAAGAATTATTATGATTACACAAAAGATTAATTGTTATCAATTTAATAGTTGGTACTATATTCAAATTACAAATTTTGTCATATCATATATATTAGTACTTTTGACACAACAATATTGGTATGATCTAGCTTTGATTTATCTTTTGTTTATCACAATATAAATTTCAATAAGGTAAAAAAAGTTGGGAGAAGAATTATTTTAAAAAAACAAAGAAATAAACTTATTCAAATATATTATTTTCAGAAATCCAGAGATGACTAACAACTTTAAATCATTTTCTCATTTTTTCACAGAAACCTAAGAACAAAATATCATATAATACTAAAAAAATGTATTATAAAATGGAGATATTCATGATAGATTAACTGTCTTACAGCATGTCTTCAAATATAAGAAAATTCAACTATACCTAAATTTAATTAATATTGACAGAACAAATTTGAGCTACTTGCAGTAGTTAACATTAGAAGCCAACTTATTAAATGTCATTTAATCATGTGAGAAATTAATTACATCTCCTCTTAATGTTAATTTATACATTAAGACACTAGTTTTAGAGCAATAAAACTTTTAGCTTTTAATAAATTTCATAGATTTAAAAAGCAAATTTTATATTTTATTGACAAAGGAGTAAGCTTTGGATTAATATCTTAAAACATTTAGGATTTAACTTAATAAGATCTTGAATACGCTTGAGAAATACAAAAATATATTTGAAAAATAATATGATTTGCAAACAGGAAGATTATAGGAATTTAAGAATTCAGATTAGATTTCTATAAATATAGTATCCTCATTTTTGTTCATATTTTACAGTAATTATTTTAAAGTAAAACAAAAATTTAATGTTAGGTTAGAGAACTTTAAAAGAAATAAAATGACCTACTTGCTTATGATAAGATAATGAATTCGAAGTTTCAGAAGAGTAAATATATTTACAAATATGATAGATGAAGTATTTTTATTGTCCTCAAGTTTTATAAAAGATTAAAACAACATAGTCAATAAAAATAATAAGAGGTTACTCCAAATGATAGGTGAGCAATTAGAACCAAAGCAACTCATTGAATTGTTACCTCAATTTCAAAAGACGGTGTACAATAGTTTTATCAGTTAATATTTATATTAAGGATTGGTTATCAATTAACCTTTGACTTTATTCTTATACAAAAATGAATATTTGATAGAATGCAATTTGAATATTTATGTAACAATTAGTTAAGATGATATAATCTTGTAAAATTTATTGGTGCTTAAAAATGAGCCTAATCATTTTGCAATATTTGATTCAGAAGGAAAAATATTGGGCATATCTTAATAGATTTATGAATTTTTAATTTAAAAATCTGATAATGCTTTTACAAAAAAGTTAGCTGTTTCAGAGTTCATTCAATAAGGAATGATTTAATATTATCTTCCAGAAATCTATTCTCACATCTAGGAATTGAATACCTAATATTCTTCAGGAACTTCATAATAAGAAATAAATATTTCATCGAGATGGTAATTTCCTGTGAATCATAAAAAATGCCTTGAATAGACTTAGGCATTAGGACTTGTTAATGATGAAGGAACTGTGTCCTCATAGTTTAAAAAAATCTTTTATTCTTCTTCCACAAAAAGATTGATTTCTTCAAAATAACATAAATTAACCGAGGAAATACCAATTATTAAGAATGTGAAAATTAAGATAATGTAAAAACAAATCATGAACTAAATACAAGCACTAGTAGTCCCACCATCAAGAATGAAGAGCATAGATTTTGAAGGGTCTTTGGAATTTGTATAATAAAAGTTTATAGAGTCAGAGACTAATTATTTTGTGTTGAGATTCAAATAGATAGAGGAATTTTAACAAGAGAAAATAGCTTAAATTCCTTTAATAGAGAACATTTAAAATTAATCCTTAATTATTAATGATTAGCAATTCGAAGGACTGCAATCCGATTATGAATTCATCTCAAACCTAATAAAAAGTAAGAAATTATATACTCCCTTAAAATACAACATTTTTATCCTGTCATTAATGATTCTTGTAACCACCATTGCTTTAGTTGTGAGTTATCAGTTGAACTATAACAATATGATTAACTATTAATAAGATGTCAATTTTTTGAATACTCCTTAGGCCATGACATTCAGTATAGGAGCTTCATTCATGTTGATGTGGAATCAGTATTGTATAGATAACAAACTCTATATAATTAGTCCATATTTAGAATACAAAAGAGAAAACCAATTGGCTTATGTCTTTGATTTTTGGGGCAGTGTTCATGAAGAATATTCAATGAATCTCAGTAGGAAGAGTGTTTAGTTGGGTTTTGATGAGATAGACTTAATTAGTTATTATAACGGTTTGAAGATTGAAACTCTTTTGGATTACTATGAATTTTATGCCATTATAAGGGAAGCATTGGTTAGACAGTTCAAAAAGATCGACTTTAAGAATATCTCCACTTTCGACCCAGACATTCTAAAGACAAATGGGATGGTTCGTTAGAATATGTTAAAGATCTATAAATTTCATAATTTTATTCTAGATGATGTGATATAAATAACCGAGGAATCATTTTCATCATTTGAAAACAGCACATTTATATTTTGTGTGTACTCTTCATTAGTGATACTATTTCTGTTGATAATCTTCTTTATTGTGAATTTTAGATTGTTGAGGACAGAAACCAAATTGATTCGTCTATTACAATATTTAAATATAAAAATAATATAGGAGCAATTGGAGAATTTGCAATTTTAGAAGGAATAATTGTCGAAGTTATTACTGATTTAAGTCTAGACAAAGGATGAACCTAATACTCAAAAATAGAGTGAGAAAGCCATAGCAAATTAACCCAAGTATAACCCATTAAGCAAATTGGAAAATTATAATGAAAAGTACACTTTGTTGATTATTCTTTCTTTAGTGGTTGGGATTGAACTTATTTTATTTATATTCGGCTCTCAATTAGTTTCTAAATTATATAATAGCCAATACTAAAGTAGTTTAATCCTTACTATGAAGTATCTGAAATTGAAGTCCAGACTTGATTCTGCTGTAATAGTAGGAGAAGTCATGAAGACAGAATATCTAATTTAAAACAATACTGCAATCGAATACATTAACTAAATTGACCATATTGAATTCTTTTTCGATAACATTGCTGTGTTACTTAAGCTTTCAGATGAAATCAATAATGAATTGGTCACAGCGACATCATACAACTCAACATTCTAAAAACAACTGATAGATATCTTTAATGATGATCTCTGTACTTACTACTCAGGCATATTGAGTTTTTGCAGAGTAGATACTATTAAATAGGAATATTATGAGAGTGAGAATTATCTCACTTTGATAGACAAGGGCATTTATGGGATGATTCAAGACTTAAATAAATTATCGATATAGGAATTTAACTATGAGCAAGTGAACTAGCATTATGATTATGATCAGCGTCGTTTGGATTCTTTCATAAAATTACCCATTCATAATTACTTATTCTTACAATACTTCATTGAATTGCAAACTTGCATCTTTTATTGTTTCTTAGATATTTTTACTGAAACTCAGATATTAAGCAATAAATTGTCGAATT